TCTTGATCACACAGTGCTCTAGCCCTGTGCACCAATGTTGAAAGTGCAGCTTGCTTGTTGGAAGGGTGGTGGTGGGACGCAGCGTTAAGGTACAGGTTAGTATGAGTGGATTTGCGGTACACTCTATGGTCCAGGGAACCGTCGGGTCTCCTGTAAATATCTATATCCAGGAAGGGGAAGTGGCCTCAAATCTTACATAAATATCAGCTGCTAGGCCACAAATTTTTAATAAAGAAGTGTACCAGCCGTTCGGAAACAAACATGTTCCCAAGGAAATGATTGGTGCACATTAATGAAGGACGAACTCGAAACAACAGGAAGTTCTGGGAAGTACTACTCGCCTACTTTCCTTCCATTACATTTTGAGTATCTGATAAGATAAATAGAGATGGAATTTAGTATACGATGGGGTACCCAAAAGAAAACGAACTAATTTTTTTGTGGGCAGAGCTTTTGTAGTACCGCGTTTTGCCTCTATGAGCGCATAGAGCTAACATTCCTGAGTCGATAAGCCGACTACCGTTGCTTCAGAAGGTAAGGACTAGTTTCGGCAGAGTTTATAGTGACAACTGTTTTGTGTGATCGTCGTGTTTGCAATGGCTGATTTTCGTGAACAGCGTGCGGCGGTGAAATTCTGCTTTTTGCTCGGGAAAAGTGGAACAGAAACTCTTGAAATGTTAAAAACGGCGTACAAGGACGATGCTATGGGGAGAACTCAAGTGTTTGAGTGGTTTTCCCGTTTCAAAAATGGTGAAATGTCAATTGATGACAAACCTCGTTCTGGTCGTCCTTCCACGGCCCGAACACATGAAAGTGTTGAAAAAATTCGTGAAATCATCAAGGAAGATCGACGACGAACCATTGAAGGAATTGTGGAGCTGTCGGGAGTGACTTGGAGCTCAGCGGCCAGATTTGTGGCAGTCGGGTGACTGGTTTTTCCATCATGTCAGTGCCCCTGCTCACACAGCCCTGTCTGTACGACAATTCTTGACCAAAAATGGTATGACCCCTGTTTCTCACCCTCCATACTCACCCGACCTTGCCCCGTGTGACTTTTTTTTGTTTCCTCGAATGAAAAGAGATATGAAAGGAAAAAACGACGGAGGCGCTGTCAAGCATTTCAAAAGACGAATTTAGACAATGTTTTGAAAAATGGAATAAAAGACTAGACAAGTGTATTAGCGTAAGTGGAGAGTACTTTGAAGTGGACTGAAGGTTTGTGCTTAAAATTTGAATAAATAAGTTAAAAAAAAAGTTCGGTTTCTTTTGGGTACCCCCTCGTATAAGCATAATTAAGTAAAAAACTACAGTCTGAGAAGCTGCAGTGTTGGTATTACTGATGGAAGGCATTTTTAAGTACGTCGTTTAGATGGCCTGAGGTGGCAAGATATACGTACCGCTTTCAGTATGATTAGTTCAAGCATTCAAGTATTATTAAAGATATTACAGCAAAAGTTTGGAATCCACAATGATCGTATTATTCACTGAAGACTTTATGAAGTACACCGTTGATGTGACGTCAGGTTACATGATATGCCTACCTAGTTACACGAAGAAGGGTTCAGGCATTCAAGTAATATTGAGGTTATTACCGCAAAATTTTGAGAGGCTGCAATATTGGTATTACTGACGGGGGATTTATGAAATATGTATCTGAGTTTGTTTCAAGTGGCACGATTCACATACTGAGTTTCCTGGAGATCTGTGCAAGCTTTCAAGCAATGTTAATACACGTATTTTGCCTCAACAATTTCAGAGGCTATAATCTTGGTACTTCTGGTGGGAATGTTTTACGAAGTACACCGTTGAGATTGCCTCGGGTTGAAAGATATACGTAGCAAGTTCAACGATGATCGGATAAGACATTCAAATGATATTATCTCAATAATATGAGATGCTTCAATGTTGGTGTTAGCGATGAAGATTCATGAAGCATGCCGATATAATGGAATCAGCTGAAATAATATACTTACCCAGTTTCATGATAATACATTCAGCAATTCAAGTAATATTAAGGTTATTAATGCAGACGTTGAGAGAAGGAAACGTTGATATTACTGATTGGAGGGATTTATGTAATACATCGTTGAGAAGGGATCAGGTGCCATGATATTCATTCCAAGTTTGATGCATATCGGTTCAGGTTTTCGAAGTGTTTTACATCTAGACACACAAGGACAACAAAGTAGCCCATTTCCGTTATTTTGAAAAAAGGAAAGAAAAAGAGGCTTATGAAATAGTTTTGAAGCCCCTCTGTCCTTCTGCCTATACATACCTCATAGCTTCTTAGGAGGTTTATGAGATCAACTTGATCTCTGTGTACGTACTTCTGTGTGTCTGTATCTCTATTTATCCCAGAAAATGTTTCCTTTAAATGCAGTGCATATATATAAAAGGAAAGTAAGCGATTGATTCTTCCCTGAATTTAGTTTTATTTTTCAAAAGAAGTAAAGTAGGCTAGAAAGTTTAAGAAAATTATCATTAAATGCCGAATCTATGAAAAATAGTTTCATGAACACACTAAGGGAAAAGTTAACTTATTACATGCTCACGGAGACTTGGAATACCTTCATAATATTATAGGAGCCGGGATAGTGCAGTCGGTATAGCGACTGGCTACGGGTTGGACGATCGAGGGGTCTGAGTTCGAGTCCCGGTGGAGGCAAAAATTTTCTCTCCTCCAAGTCGTCCAGGCTAGCTCTGGGATCCACCCCGGGGGTAAACCGGCAGGGCGTGAAGCCGACCACTCGCCTCCGACTATTGCCGAGTCAAGGAAAATATGTATCTATACACTTCCTCATACTCTTAATTAGTTAAGCACAGGGACAACTTTTTTTCCCTTGGCACTACAGCCCCAGTGGGCCTAGGCCTAACTGCATGAACTTCTCCGTTCACTTCCTTTACCTTTACCTTNCAAACACAGTAAAACGCACACATACAAACTAAACATCCATGCCCTGAGTGGGACTCGAACCCACGATCCCGGTTTCCAAGCGAGCGAAGACAGTACATGCCTTAGATCGCTCGGCTACCGTGACCGGCTGGGGACAATTTTACCTTTACCTTTTTCTTTTTTCCCTTGGCACTACAGCCCCAGTAGGCCTAGGCCTAACTGCATGAACTTCTCCGTTCACTACCTTTACCTTTACCTTTTAATATTATACTTGAGTATCCTGTTGCATTGATGTGACACTCATTCATATCCCAACGAGTGAAAGCACACATAAGAAGGGGAGACAGACATGAACGCCGCAAAAAGAAAATAACGTAGACGGAGAGGGGTTTCATTCTCAGACAAACGAATTTTAGTGCGAAGAACAATATCCAATACTATATACATGTATAATATAGTAAGATCTACTGCAGTGCGACGGCTTCATAGAGTGAATCACTACCTGAAGATGGCCAAGTAATCCTGAAACAATAATCAGTTGATATGATTTTTTTGTTACTTTAAATTAGAAAGGGATTGTGAGCATTTTCAAGTTGCATTGAAGAAATAGGTGAATGAATGAATGAGTGACAAAACTGTATATTTCTTCAAATTTACATTAAATTTAAAAATCTAATTTCAGCAAGTAAAGGAAAATAACCGCACCTTGCACCGAGTGTATACAACTTACATATAAGGGATATCACGTCCTTCCGTCCGTCTATTTCAGCTGGAGAACCGCTGATGTAAGTTATGACATTTGAGATCACTCGGAGGTTGTACCGAGGCTACAGTAACAAGAGAAGGAATCCAAAAATCCCTTGAGAATATTCAAGACTGGTGCCAATTCGGAAACCCACCAGCCATAATAACCAAGAGTGACCATAGTAACCACGGTAACATAAGAACCCATAGTACTTTACGTTTTAATTAATATTGCTAATATTTTCATCGGCATGCACTGTCTTCGCTCGCTTGGAAACCGGGATCGTGAGTTCGAATCCCACTCAGGGCATGGCTGTTTAGTTTGTGTGTGCGCGTTTTTCTGTGTTTGTGTACAGGTAGAGGACTTTCGAGGAGCTGATCACCCGTCCAAGGAGTCCTACTGATTGTGTAAGATCTAGAAAAACCGAAATGAACGGAGAAGTTCGTGGTGGTAGGCCTAGGCCCACTGGGGCTGTAGTGTCAAGGAAAAAAAAATTTCATCAGGATCATCGTGATCCTGTGTGTGTGTGTGTGTGTGTGTGTGTGGAGGAAACGACCTGTTAATGGGCGGGTATCCGGTTGAATCACCCACCCCTGGCAGAGTGGGAAGGATCGCTATAATCAGAACCCTGCTCTCATCGAATAGGAGGCCCCATTTCGAAATATGCATACATGTCAAAAAGAACAGTACGAAATTCTGGGTAGGACAAATCCCCTATTTTCTTTGGATACGACATGGACCGCATACAGAACGCGTCCAGCAATTCTTCTATTATTGCATGTGTATTAGTCGCCGCGGTAACGTTTCTACCGAATCGTTGCCTGGCAATGGTGGGAGGATAGACATGCAGACACACACTGACGGAAGTGATGTATGAAGTACGACATTGAGATGCTCTCAAATGACATGATATAAATTTTCATAAAGATTGGTTCAGGCATTAAAAAGTTAACACGGGAATCCCAAGTCACACAGATACAGACAGACACATTGCATTGTGACAAAATGAGCCTACTTTTTTAAATAGGGAAATTAGGCTGAGAATATGGTTAGGGGTCCCGACAGGACCCGAATACATAATTGATTGTATTGGCGTGAGCCAGGAGTAAATTTATTTGGAACAAATATGAATATTCAGAATGCCATGGATGAAATAATACTCCGCCATGGATTATGCCATTCTGATCGTGTTATATATTATAAAATAGGAACTTAGAAAACGTCATTCAACAATGTTTATTCGTGAACAATTTTATTCTTCATTCCTAACTGGCCAAATTATTAATCATGACAAGTCGGGAAAGAAATCAAATAAAATTAATTAGAAAGAAGTCGTGGATAAAATAAATGCAAAACACTTGCTAAGAAGAGGGCACTGATTTATTCACAGCATTGTTGGATTTTATTTTTCTACATGCTTTTGAAGATATAGTAACTTCTAAATTCGTATGTTCTCAAGGTTCTCTTCGTACTGAAATTTGTTTGGACTTTCAATCTTCTTCAGATTCTGAATCAGAACTTGAATCATCTTCCTCAGAATTCGTTTTTTCGGAAGTAGTACCCACTTCTTCATTAGTGGTTGTGGAAGGTAATTCAGTAGTGATAGATCCTTCAGTAGTCGTTGAAGACTCTTCAGGATTTGTGGAAATTTCTGCGGAAGTTGTTGCGTTTACTACAGAAGACACTGTTGTTTCTTGAGGAGTAGATGAGGTTTCTTCTATTGTCGTTTCATATTTTTCTGAAGTTGTGGAAGATTCTTCGGGAACAGTGGCAATCTCTTCTGAAGTTGTAGAAATTACCTCGGGAGTCGTAACAGGCGCTTCAGGAGGTGTGGAAAGTTCTCCGGGAGTTGTTGCAGGTTCTTCAGGAACTGTGGGAATTTCTTCTGGAGTTGTTACTGGTTCTTCGGGAACTGTAGAAAGTCCTTCCGGCGTTGTAGAAACGTCCTCTGGAGTTGTAATGGGCTCTTCAGGAAGCGTGGAAAGTTCGTCGGGACTCGTTACAGGTTCTTCAGAAACTGTGGACAGTTCTTCTGGAGTTGTAGAAACTTCCTCTGGAGTTGTAACAGGCTCTTCAGAAGGCGTGGAAATTTCGTCGGGAGTTGTTACAGGTTCTTCAGGAGCTGTGGGGAGTTCTTCCGGAGTTGTAGAAATTTCCTCGGGAGTTGTATTGGGCTCTTCAGGAGGCGTGGAAAGTTCATCGGGACTCGTTGCAGGTTCTTCAGAAACTGTGGGCAGTTCTTCTGGAGTTGTAGAAACTTCCGCTGGAGTTGTAACAGGCTCTTCAGGAGGCGTGGAAATGTCGTCGGGACTCGATTCAGGTTCTTCAGGAACTGTGGGAAGTTCTTCTGGAGTTGTTACAGGTTCTTCGGGAACTGTGGGAAGTTCTTCTGGAGTTGTAGAATCTTCCTCTGGAGTTGTAGCAGGCTCTTCAGGAGGAGTGGAAAGTTCGTCGGGACTCGTTTCAGGTTCTTCCGGAACTGTGGGAAGATCTTCTGGAGTTGTTACAGGTTCTTCAGGAACTGTGGGAAGTTCTTCTGGAGTTGTTACAGGTTCTTCGGGAACTGTGGGAAGTTCTTCTGGAGTTGTAGAATCTTCCTCTGGAGTTGTAGCAGGCTCTTCAGGAGGAGTGGAAAGTTCGTCGGGACTCGTTTCAGGTTCTTCCGGAACTGTGGGAAGATCTTCTGGAGTTGTTACAGGTTCTTCAGGAACTGTGGGAAGTTCTTCTGGAGTTGTTACAGGTTCTTCGGGAACTGTGGGAAGTTCTTCTGGAGTTGTAGAATCTTCCTCTGGAGTTGTAGCAGGCTCTTCAGGAGGAGTGGAAAGTTCGTCGGGACTCGTTTCAGGTTCTTCCGGAACTGTGGGAAGATCTTCTGGAGTTGTTGCAGGTTCTTCCGGAGCTGTGGGAAGTTTTTCTGGAGTTGTAGAATCTTCCTCTGCAGTTGTAGCTGGCTCTTCAGGAGGTGTGGAAAGTTCGTCGGGAGTCGTTACAGGTTCTTCAGGAACTGTGGGAAGTTCTTCTGGAGTTGTTACAGGTTCTTCGGGAACTGTGGGAAGTTCTTCTGGAGTTGTAGAATCTTCCTCTGGAGTTGTAGCAGGCTCTTCAGGAGGAGTGGAAAGTTCGTCGGGACTCGTTTCAGGTTCTTCCGGAACTGTGGGAAGATCTTCTGGAGTTGTTGCAGGTTCTTCCGGAGCTGTGGGAAGTTTTTCTGGAGTTGTAGAATCTTCCTCTGCAGTTGTAGCTGGCTCTTCAGGAGGTGTGGAAAGTTCGTCGGGAGTCGTTACAGGTTCTTCAGGAACTGTGGTAAGTTCTTCCGGAGTCGTAGAGACTTCCTCTGGAGTTGTAAGAGGATTTTTAGGAGGCGTGGAAAGTTCACTGGGAGTTGTTACATCATCATCTGTAGATGATTCAGGACTGGTGGTAATAGGTAATTCCGTTGTTGTTTGGTTGTGTGACAAGCAACCAGCACTGTCAGGCCAGTCACAAGTATCCAGAGATGGATTCCAGTGGAGTCCAGGTGAGCAGTATTCAAGTTTGGGTGCTCCGTTGTCACACTTGTAGAACGCAGTGCAGTCGGTTGGATGAGGAATAAATACTGTAATTTCTTCACCTGGGGGAGGACAGGATGGCACTGGCAAAGCTCGAGCTAGGAAATTACATAGCAGCGCCGCGAACAACGTCACTTCTTTGGATGAGATATAAACTGAAACGAAATAAACTCGTCAGTATCATTTTGCGTTATAGGTTTATGCTTCTACTAATTAGCGGAATTATTAAAGCCACATTCATTTCACTTCTATGCTTTAACCAAATTCTGGACGTACATGGTTCAAATCTGGGTCCATAGACCTAATGTTCTTCTTTAGGGTTATTGTTGCGTCTAGCAATACTTTCAAAAGATTTTAGGAACTGCTTCATTTCAGATCATTTTCATGTCATAATGTACTATTTATCCTGTCATTCGACATTATGAATTTATAGTCCGTGCTACTAACAGCGGTGTTACATAAACAGTTAGTTGCTAGGCTGCAGGGTTCTACAGTTGGGATCTCAAACAGCAGACCCTTAAGCATATTTGGTACCCTCATGGATTTTGGCATATTTATAATAATGTTTTAATTTTTCGCTGATGATTGTAGGACATGTAGTGATTTACACTCACTGAACCGAATATCCGCCTGGTACCGATGAGTTCAAAATATTTATGTTATGTTCAGGTATCGCATTAATTTACAAACTCATGAGCAAATACTGGTAGGTGTAAGTGATATTTTCTAAGGGAAATATTAATATCCTTTACGGAAATTTTGTTAGGCGGGAGGTGCCGAAAGAGAGTCTTGGAAAGTATCTTGGCTTAAGAACGCAGCGTGCGGAGACCGAATAAGATGACCAAAGTGGTAACTGTCCTATTCGTATAAAAGATTATCAACTCCGTGCAGTGTGGCTTATAAATGTTTTTTCTCCTTTTTAATCTTTCATTCTTCACATGTTTCGGTAGGAGTGGCCATCTTCAGAAAGATATATCAACACTTGCGGAAACTACTATTACAATGTGAATGATCATTATTAATACATACAATACTATTACAATGTCATGAATATAAAATCTTAGTCTTTAACAGCTACAACGATATGCCTGAATTTGGTAAAATATTTATGCATTATTATAATTAGTTTATTTACAAGCGTGGTTTAAAACTTCGTAAAATTTAGAACCGGTCGCTCACGGTAGCCGAGCGGTCTAAGGCATGTACTGTCTTCGCTCGCTTGGAAACCGGGATCGTGGGTTCAAATCTCACTCAGGGCATGGATGTTTAGTTTTTCTGCGTTTGTGTACAGATAGAGACCTTGCAACGAGCTGATCACCCGCTCAAGGAGTCCTACCGTATGCGTAAGATCTAGAAAAACCGAAGTGAACGGAGAGGTTCATGGAGGTAGGCCTAGGCCCACTGGGGCTGTAGTGCTAAGGAAAAAAATTAGAACCAATTTGGTCCGTGTCCTTTATACTGCCTCTCTTTAAAAGAAGTTGAGTGTCTACCGCGTCGTGGTTCCGTTGTTTGACAAATAGGACTCTTTAGTGTCGTCCAGTTGTTCGGGCCGCGCTGTGTTGTTAAATTGCGGCATGCCCTCAACCATCAGTACCTGTAACAGCCGAGCTGGTACTGCTGCTTTGTCAAAACGCTGATGTTTGTCAACGAATGGAGCAGAATCTCTATGAGGTAGGTTTTAGCATCTATATCACACATGAATTAGGACGTTCACGACACCGAGTAATAGAAAGTCATAATTGCAGCTATGGAAGGGGATCCGTGAAGAAGTTCACACAAAATTGCACAAGCATTGGAACTGTAAGAGCGAAGGTCCTTGAAGTATTTCATGAAGATCAGTTGCATCCTTACGACACTCGTGGAGCGCACATGAATTTCCAAACGATAGTTCTCTATGGTTGTTTTTCCAAGGATTCCGGCCAGGTCCGAGGCTTCTTGAGAATAATCGTAACAAGCTTATTCTTTACGGTGACGAGTTGTTAGCACCATGCCCAAACCCCAAGCTGGAGGACGACCCCTTCTCGGCTGTCCGCAATTGTTTATTCAATATATTCGCAGCTTTCCTACCTGGAGGGCGATTCCTCCATCCACAACCTGAGGACGCACAATGCCATGGTGATAAGGGACCCACCTAACGTGGTGGGATACGAGGAATGCATATAGGATATTGGTGGCAAATCCAGAAGGAAAGAGACCACTGGGAAGACCAAGGTATAGGTGGGAGGACAATATTAAAATGGATGGGATTGTATGGAGTGGATTGATCTGGCTCAGGATTGTGACCAGTGGAGGGCTCTTGTGAACACAGTAATGAATCTTCGGGTTCCATAAAATGCTGGAAAATTTTGAGTAGCTGCAGATTTGGCTTCTCCTCAAGGAGTCAGCTCCATGAGTATTAAGTTCTCTATGGATGACATTTGGCAAATGACCAAGATATCAATATACTGCAGATGAACCCTATTTACGTTAGAGACGAGCATTCTTTAGATGTGATGATGTGTTAAACTACTAACAGTCATCTCTGGGAACAGGGCAGTCTACCGGCTAACCACGAACATGGCATCAAGATCGAATCATTGTCAGCGTTTGGAGTGGAATCGGTGGGGACATTGTCGTGGACTTGACAGGATATGTCGATTTTCTGGAAACCGTTCTACTGGGATTGCTTGTAGATAAGCCTTTAGCTGTGGCTTCTCTACGACGGAATTCCGGCAGTCTGTGGGTAAGAATTACATCGTTGGTGTTCACGCGAAATATCCAGGAACGTGGATTGGGTGTTGAGGACTAATTATATGGCATCTTTAGTCGCTATATCTAAACCGGATTGATTTCTTCCTGCGACACCTGAAAGAGGAAGATTTAATCAGTCTGTTCCAGGACCATCGAAGAACCTCGTGACAGGATTGTAAGCAGCTGTGACAACGGCCGATGCTAATGAAAGGAGGGCACTTCTACTGTAACTACGAGGCGATAGTGGTTTGATTATTTGGCGGTTAGCGCCATTTGATGATGACATATATCTCTCACCGGATATATATTACACAATATATTCGACATTGTTAACGAGGAATCATACTGTGTAATGCTTGTGCGAGAATTAAATTTCACCCTGTTTAACCTTTTGTCTTCTCGTCTGCTGTTCAAAATCGTTAACAGTTAGAATATACAAAACTATAATTTTGCCTCTGGTTCTGTATGGGTGTGAAACTGATCTCTGACATTAAGGGAGGAACATAGACTGAGGGTGTTTGAGAACAGGGTGTTGAAGAGAATATTTGGACAGAAGAGAGATGGAGTGACAGGAGGTTGGCGAAAACTGCATAATGAGGAGCTTCGTAACTTGTACTCTTCTCCAAGTATAATTAGAATGATCAAGTCAAAGTGGATGAGGTGGGCAGGGAATGTGGCACGAATGGGGGAGAAGAGGAATGCGTATAGGATATTGGTGGGAAAGCCAGAAGGAAAGAGACCACTGGGAAGACCAAGGCCTATGTTGGTGAACAATATTAAAATTGATCTTAGATAGGATGGGATGGTATGGATTGGATTGATCTGGCTCAGGATAGGGACCAGTGGAGGGCTCTTGCGAACACGGTAATGAACCTTCGGGTTCCATAAAATGCTGGGAAATTCTTGAGTAGCTGCAGAATTGGCGACTCCTCCAGAAGGGCTAAGCTCCGTGAGTAAGTAAGTAAGTAAGTAAGTAATTTTAATTTTTGTACACATCATATGACGAACCGGGATACTGCAGTCGGTACAGCGACTGGCTGCAGGCTAGACGACCGAGGGGTTGCAGCGTTCGAGTCCCGGTAGGGTCAAGAATTACCTCTTCACGTCGTCCAGGTCGGCTCCGGGGTCCACCCCAAGTCCTGTCCAGTGGGTACTGGGGAGCTCTTTCCATGGGGGGTAAAGCAGCCGGGGTGTGAAGCTGACGTTCACCTCCATATAGTGCCGAGGTCCAGAAAATTTTTGGATTTTATACGTCCACTCGCCCATAAGCCTTCATGGCGTAGTGTTTAGTTAGCTAAACCGAGGGACAGCTTTATCTTTTACGTACGAGTATCATATGATTCAAAGTGTATTTCATGGACAAGATCCCTTTCTCTATACAGCAAAAATATGTCCAAGTTTGTTGCATTTTCTGAAGGTTATTCGCCTAAGCGGCGGTCAGAGTATCCTCGCGGCCTAAGGCATGCACTGTCTTCGCTCGCTTGGAAGCCGGGATCGTGGGTTCGGATCTGTTTCCTGTGAGGTGCGAACTGAATTCTTATATATTATTCTTATACACTGCCGGTCACAGTAGCCGCGCGGCCTAAGGCATGAACTGCCTTCGCTTGGACGCTGGAATCGTGGGTTCCAACCCCACACAGGGCATGGCTGTTCGATGTGTGTATGTGTTTATTCTGTGTTTGTGTTGTGTGCTTTTGAACTCTCCAGCACAATAATTTATTTGCCACTACGAGAACGTCAAAAAAATACATTTAAATATCACATTAAGTGTTCTACCGAAAGTCGCCTGTTCACTGACCACTACTGCATTTTTATTCGCAAGTTATCAGGTTCGATTCTCGGCCCATTAATCGCCACCTCACTGAGTTATTCGTCAATCTGTCTGGACAAATATCACGACAGTACATAATATTTTCTCCTCTCCATTACCTTCCGGATTCACCATTTGTAATAATCCTCTTTGTAATGTCACGGTATTTAAATTATGCAATTGATGCATTATAGTTCCGTAAACAACAAACAAACAAACATAATGTACACACATAAGTATTCATTGCATCTTGCGTTACCTTTCATCACAGTAAGTTTCTCCAACTGACAACTCACACGAGATTTCACTTCAATAAGTGGAAAGCTGATTTGTCTACGATATATAAGTCCTTCAAATGAGTTTAATCTTTGGTGATATTAATTCCAGGTATTTATTAACTTAGCTGATATTGTCCTGATATTGTTATGAGCTTCTATGACGTCTTCAATTAGTATACGAGCTGAATATCTGAAAATAAAAGTGGCACATCTCTACATGTCACCTGATAACCGAATCGAAATATATCTTTGTGTGCTGGCATTTTCTTTTAATTTCAAAATTCGATAAAGTAATACCTATGAATTTACTGTTTTTCTAAACGATTTGATAGAATGTTGATCAGAAGAAATAATGAAGTATGAAAAATCTGAAACTAAAAATTTCGAATGAGCTTTTTATATACTCTCTTAGATATAAAACTATTTAATTTTCTACCTATTACATTATTTATATGTAGATACTGATTATGAAACAAAAACAAAATAATATATATACAATTTGAAATTTTCACAACGTTGACTATGAAGAATGACGTCTTCTGGGATGTGGCGTCGTTTAGACCTTGTGTAAACCGACGTTTCGGAGGAAAGTGTCAAGAAGGAAAGAAGCTTCCACCAGTGCACACGGCAGCACATCCCAGAAAAGCAGTGTTCTTTAAGGAGTTACTTGTCTCACTCTTTGTGAGAATGGACACTTACATAATTTATCTGTCATCGTATCAAGTCCTTTAGACTATGTTTAGGAGAACGATTATGAGTCTGACAAGCAATTTCTCAACTCATGTCTCGTATACGTAAACATTTATATGAAGTTGGACATCTGGACAGTATTGACGCATACTGAGATAGGAATTCTATATAATAGAGGTATCTTATGTTCACCCGTTTTTGCAGAATCATATTTAGAATCGCTAGCTCATCACATCAATGAAGACTGTTCAGGTTTCCGGAGGTACTGGCTTTTTCTTCTTTACTCAACTGAGCTGCATGTGTATATCTTTGTCTTTCTGTCCCCCCCCCCATATTCTGATTCAGCTACGAGTGTGCAGATAATAGACTGGAATTAGTCATCGAATTTCATAGAAATTATATGTACAGCATGCCACTTGAAGTCACCCGATTTTGGTCACTGTTCAAAACTTTCTATTAACTACAATATATTCACGTGTCGTAGCCTGGTAGTGTTACATCTGTCACCAAGCTCCTTTAGCTCTAGTCTCTCTTGTTGTGAATACACCGCTGCAGGTCTCGGAGACTACAAAGTAGGACGACTTCATAAGTATATTTTTTTATGACGAACAGTAGCCAGACTACAGAGAGTCGAATAGAGGGATGATAGATCTGTGATTGTTTGGAAAGTGTTTCTAACGAAGCGGTCATGGTCTATTCCGGCACTATGCCAGCCTTTACCTGGAGGACTGAGGAGAATCACGAAAAATCTTAGGCAGTATAGTCAGTATCCCAGACGAGAATCGAACCGATAATTTCCAAGATACAAGGAAAAAGCCTTACATCTTCACCAAACAGTCCGGTAATATAGCAATTTAAAAAATAATTTGGCATGATGATGATTTAGTTGGACTACTTTAATAAATTTCTTTTTTCTCACATAATAGGTCCGTTTAGATTTTAAATGGCCTCACCATTTTTGTTAACAGCCGTCTTTTTTGGCAACTCCCAGTATTGAAAACTACAAGCTACTGTTTAGAAGAAGGTTTCTAAATAAATATTTTACACGAAAACAATGACAACTAACAACAGAAAGAAGATTATTGTTTACATATCCGCCCAAAGACACAAGTACGAATATTGCCTGCTACCAGCGGATGGGAACGTATCGCTTGCGTCTGAATTGCAGTTCTGTAGAAGACAGATTATATTCTGACGGAACAGTCCATTGCTAGACAACGGCTCGTTGCAAGCACGTTGTATAGCAACGAACACACTGGTAGGAATCAAAGCGTTGCCACGAGATTGACACACGTGTCATAGCAAAGGATGAAACAGATAATGACAGACGAACCCTTCGAGGTGGTGGTCCTTGTTCAGTTCACCCCGATTGATAAAAGAGAGTTCATTCGTGAATTCATTTATCCATTCGTAAGAGTAGTTTAATGTTCAACAGTGGAGTGATAAACGGCGGGCAACGGAAGCTGAAGAAGTGACCGATTCGTAAATCAGAACCAAGTCAGTCACCGTGGAAGAGAAGACGTTAGTAGTCCAGTAAGGAATGGAGCGAGTCTTAGTCACTGATTGTGAACTGTTATAATTAATTATAATTGTAATAAAAATGCTAATAATCTAGTCATTCAGTCCAGAACCCGTTATTATTGGTCACGTCAGCCTCTCATGCGTGACAATGTAATGTTGAGATTCATTAAAACTAAATGTGCGTTGATTTCAGTGGTTCGGGTTTCGAGGATTTCTCTCTTTGTGGGCTAGTAGCTCAAATATGCAGCGTCGAGTGGTAGGACAGTAGAAGAATTTAAGGGCTATTGGACAGAAGTTTCCGTGGTCTCAACTAGTACCATTCCAGCATTATTCTGGAGTGACTGAGGAAATGTACAAAATATTCAATCAGGGTACCCAGTGCCTAGGTCGGAAATGAAAAGAACACCTACAGACAAGGACCCAAAGCTTATCCTGCTGCGTCATCTTGCCCGGTACAGATATTANTCTCAACCAGTAACATTCCAGCATTACCCTGGAGTGACTGAGGAAAAGTACGAATCGCATTACCCAACTGCTCTTTGCCATAGTGACTTACTCTGTTTCCCGTGAGGTGGTTGCTATTTTTGTTATTATATTATTTGGAAAAACTTCATGTTTAAAGGCGTTAATTGCTTTCACCTTCTTCAATCGTTAGGTACCAAACGGCATATCTCAATGACAAGGCTTCTAACCCACGTTCCAGAAGTGTCTGCTTCGAACCCTAGATTTGGAATTATTCACATACAGGGACATTGTAGTTCCATTTATTGTACCCATCCCGATGACGGAATAGGGTCTGCAATAGGCTTGCACATATTGCCTCTAAACTCATGTATCATTTGATGCTACACAGGGAGTTAAAAAGGGTTATGGGCATCAAGGGGAGTAGGGATTCTAAGTCAACATATGTCCAGAAACCAATGCCTGCTGAGAGGCAGGCGATGTTTTGTTATTGCTAGTGGGGTGGGACTAAGTCATTTGTACTGCGGCCACTTCTGGCCTATTGTACCAGCCCCAGATGATAGGTGAGGGTGATTGTGGAGCAATTGGTGGAATGAAGATTGGCAAGGGAAATCGAAGTACTCGTAGAAAACCTGCCCCAGCGCGACTTTGTCCACCACAGATCCCACTTGACCAGACCGACTAACCTCTTGAGCTATGGCGCGGCCCTCAGACGATGTTCATGTGATCTCTACAGCGGATGTTGCATGTCGTTCCCATGCATTTGAACACAGCTTTCAGCTCTTCGTGGCACAGAGGTGCGCACTCTGACGGAGATTCCTCGTTTCATTCGAATCTCCTGAGACATTCTCTGTTCGCTGCTGTAATACTTCTGTGTCACTGATCGGCACTCAATCCACCGAAGCCTTTCGTTGCTCCCACAGCCAAAAATTCAGGGAATTGAAGCCAGGGGATTGTGCAGGCCAGGTGACTGGGCCAACACTTCCTGTCACCTGTTCAACGAGAGTGTTCAGTTCCTGCGGAGAAAACGAGGTGGCGACCCATCACGCATGAGCCATATTTATTGTAGTTCTAGTTGACAGGAACGCTGATGCTCCTCACCTGCGTGTCTGTTAGGTACGAGAACTGGTTCTAAGAGCTGATCACAGAAAATGCCCAACCCGATATTGATGGAAAA